CCACATTACTCAGAGCACAGCATCTTAAAGAAGAAGAAATGAAACACATTTCTTATTATTTAAGAGTTAATTCAAGCAAAGAAGCATTTTTTTTTATTTGTTTTTGAGACAGAGTCTTACCATGTTGCCCAGGCTAGAGAGCTATGGCATCAGCTTCACTCACGGCAATCTCAAACTCCTAGGTTCAGGCAAACCTCTTGCCTCAGTCTTCCATGTAGTTGAGACTACAGGCACCTGCCACAACACCTGGATAATTTTTCTATCTTTAGTAGAGATGGCGTCTCCCTCTTGCTCAGGCTGGTCTCAAACTCCTGAGTTCAAGGGATCCTCGGTGCCTTGGCCTCCTCTTAGAGTGCGAGGATTACAGCCATGAGCCACTGCACTGGCCTTAACAAGCATGTTTGTTGGTCTAACTAAGCACTGGAAATCATAACATTTAGGGGAATGAAGGAAATTAGGATTGGAAAGGGACAATGGTGAGGAGAGCAATCAGAATTTGAGGAAGTAGGTAAGAAAGTATATAACACAAAAGATGAAAGTCGCAGCACTCGGTGAGATGCTTTAAAGTACAAATAAACCATCATACCTCAGCAATCTGCCTAGCCTTCACCCATGCCATCATAAGAATCCCATGGCACAAAAGAAAGATTAAACTATATTCAGTTATTTTATAAAGACGAATATACCATAAATTATTTCTTAAAGAATTTGTTTCTGCCTTTTTGTTTTCCCAGGGTTTTTTTTGGCTGGGGCTAGGTTTGAACCCACCACCTCCGGTATATGGGGCCGGCACCCTACTCCTTTGAGCCACAGGCGCTGCCCTGCCTTTTTTTTTTTTTAATTGAGACAGAGCTTAACTATGTTGCACTCAGTAGAGTGCCCTGGTGATGGGCACCTGTACTCCTAGCTACTTGGGAGGCTGAAGCAAAAGGATTGTTTGAGCCCAAGAGTTTCACGTTGCTTTGAGCTATGACAGCATGGCACGCTACCCTGGAGTGAGAGAGTAAAGACTCTGTCTCAAAAAAAAAAAAAAAAAAAAAAAAAATTTCAACATAGGAATATTTACCCAAGCTGAGGCTAACCAATTCTGATGTTCATGGGATCCCAAGGTATTTCCTCTCTTCTACAAAATGTGAATTCTGAGAAACAGATTTCTATCAAATTTTTTTTTTATTTTTAAGACACAGTCTCACTGTCACCGTTGGTAAAGTGCCATGGCATCACAGTTCACAGCAACCTCAAACTCTTGGGCTTAAGTGATTCTCTTGCCTCAGCCTCCCAAGTAGCTGAGACTACAGGCGTCCACCACAATGCCTGGCTATTTTTCTTGTTGTTGTTGCACAGTTGCCATTATTTTTGTTCTAGCTGGCCCTGGCCAGGTTCATACCCACCAGCCTCAGTGTAGGTGGCCGGCACCCTACCCACTGAGCTACTGTCGCCTCCTCAAAAGAAAATTTTTTTATATGAGCATATGAACCATTTTTGAAAAATGTTTGAAGTATCACAAGTAGGGCGGCGCCTGTGGCTCAACGGGTAGGGTGCTGGTCCCATATACCAAGGGTGGTGGGTTCAAACCCAGCCCCAACCAAACTACAACAAAAAAATAGCCGGGCGTTGTGGTGGCGCCTGTAGTCCCAGCCACTCGGGAAGCTGAGGCAAGAGAATCGCCTAAGCCCAGGAGTTGGAGGTTGCTGAGAGCTGTGTGACACCACGGCACTCTACTGAGGACAATAAAGTGAGACTCTGTCTCTAAATTAATAAATAAAATAAAATATCACTAGTACCTATACCATGTTTCCCCAAAAATGAGACCTAGCAAAAAATAAGCCCCAGCAGGATTTCTATGCATTTGTTAAATATAAACCCTACCCCAATAGTAAGACCTAGTGATAGCATATCTGCATAGCCATGCCATCCATTTCGGCGTGGAGTGGTAAGGAAGACTGGAATACCTGTTATCTGCCACAGCTCCTTTCTCCGAACTGTTCGCACTTGGCGCCGGTGTGCCTGTGGTAACTGCGGTAGCGCCTGTGGTAGCGCCTGTGGTAACTGCGGTAGCGCCTGTGGTAGCGCCTGTGGTAACTGCGGTAGCGCCTGTGGTAACTGCGGTCGCACCTGTGGTAACCGCAGTTGCAGGTATCCTATTGCGCATGTGCGAATGGCTAGGGGAAAGGAGTTCACGCATCACTAGCGCCGGCCCCACCAATAAGGTGGGCTCCCCGTCAGGTTCCAGAAGAGGATGACTTAACTGTATTTGAATAAATGTAGATTGTTGTATTATACTTAATAAAAAATAAAACATCCCCTGAAAATAAGCCCTGGTGTGTCTTCTTGAGAAAAAATAAATATAAGACAGTGTCTTATTTTAGGGGAAACACGGTACTTGTCTTTGTGCCACTCGTCAATAGTGGTTTAATACTCAGTCCAATTAAAATATACTCAAATGAGTACACTTTACATTAGAGAAAACATCTCAGTGAAAAATGAACAAAGGGCTCAGAAATTAATTTTCCCAAAATATTTAAGTCCTATTCCATTCAGTTTTTAAATTAAACAGTAAGTAAAACATCACACTAGAGCTGGACCGGAGTGGCTCACTCCTATAATCCTAGCACTCTGGGAGGCCAAGGCAGGAGGATCCCTTGAGCTCAGGAGACCCACCTGAGAAAAACTGAGACCTCATCTCTACTAAAAATAGAAAATTTAGCCAGGCATGGTGATCCATGACTATAGCCCCTGCTACTCAGGTGGCTGAAGCAGGAGGATCACTTTAGCCCAGGTTGCAGTGAGCGGATACCACTGCACTCTACCTGGGACACAGCAAGACTGTCTCAAAAAAGAAAATAACATGGGCAGTGCCTGTGGCTCAAAGCCGTAGAGCACTTGCTCAATCTATCAGAGGTGGTGGGTTTAAACCTGGGCCTGGCCAAAAACTGCAAAAAAGAAAACATAGTACTAATATTTATTTATAGCATTATTTTTATCTATGCACTACTTCAATAAAATTCTCAAGTTAAAAGTATGATTTTCTTACTAATTTATCTGAAAACACCACAGTTGGGTTTATTTACATATTTTATACTCTCTCACATCACATTTTATGGAGAAGGGAATAAACTCTTATCATTTCCTTCATATAGTTTTGAGTCTCTTGACTTCAAAGAGTAGCTGAAGGAACCAATCTGGTTTAATAAACGCGTCTGCTAAGGGTAACTAAGAGTTAACCCCATTTCTACCTCTTCAATGGCTCTTCAGGGATACAGGACTGTGACTGCTATTATCTAAAACTGGTATGTCAGTAAAGAATAAATATTAAGCATAAGACAGTGAAAAATACCAGATCTTTTTAGAAACAAAAAGCAAAATATTAAGCCACTGAAAGAAAATGGGAAAGACATAAGCCTTTTAGGCCAGACAACTTAAAAAAAAAAAAATGCTGCCAAGTATTGTCTTAGGATCCATTTTGTTTAAAAACATCACACTTCAGAATTTAAGTCAAAGACCTGAGATCCTAATTTGAAAATGAAACAGAACACAAAGAAACCTATTTAAAACAGTAATAGGCTTAGAGAATGCTTTGCAGGAATTTATACCTAATTTGTCTGTTCATTCTTGCGCAAATCAAGCATCGCCAAATTTTAGTCGGCTCTATATAAAGAATAGAGGTAACCACATAATTCAAGTAAGTTTTCTTCCCAAATACTTAGTGAAGCCATGAAACAACTTACCCACCTAAACAAATCCAGAGATCTATGGATTTTAGTTTTAATACCTAACCCTTGGACAAACTGTCTTTCCTTGATAACCAATGGCATCCTTCCAAAAATATGGTTAAGTAATGAACTCAATCAAACTCAGTTGTGTCTGTGACAGTGACATCTAAATGACCAAATGAAAAGCAAAAAATCCAAAATCAGCCATTTTTATTCCACAATATACAACATACCCTAACAGGTGCACTGACTTGGCCCACCTGTGTTTCTCTAACAGAATACCCCAACCTGGTAAATTTATAAACAGAATTTTTCTCACAGTTCTAGAACACAGAAAAGGCCTGTTTCTTATAGATGACACTGTCGAAGTGTCCTCCCATGGCAGAATAGCAGAAGAGCAAAGGGCTTAAAATAGTTCCCTACAGTCTTTTTTTTTTTTTTTAAGACAGTCTCATGTTGCCCTCAGTAGAGTGCCATAGCATCACAGCTCACAGCAACCTCAGACTCTAGGGCTTAAGCGATTCTCTTGCCTCAGCCTCCCAAGTAGCTGGGAATACTGGCCCCCACCACAAGGCCCGGCTATTTTTTGGTTATAGTTGTTGTTTGGCAGGCCCAGGCTGGGTTTGAACCTGCCAGCCCCCATGTATGTGGCTGGAGCCCTAGCGCTGAGCTATGGGTACCAAGCCCCTACAGCCTTTCTATGAGGCACTAACCCACTTTTGAAGGCAAAGTCTTCAGGATTTAAGCTTTTTCCCTAAAGTTCCTACCTCCACAATGGAAATACCACCACAATGGAAGTTCAACTTTCAACACGTGAGTTTGGGGCGTAAGGAAACATTCAAACTACAGCGTGCACTTTCCAACATTTTAAGTTTCCCACAGCCTTGAGACCAGGCTACATAAAAATTGGGGCACTTCTTTGCTTACTCTCTAAAACATTAAAATCTATACTGAGAGTGAAATACAAAAGTATGATATTTAATTAGACACTACTGGTTAATACGAAACTTACACTTCCTTGTTCATTAGCTAATAGGTACAACTATAATTTTAGATAGGAATTATAATTAGAAATAATGAGAGCAATTTCTTGAGTTACTCCACCTTTAAATTGTATTTTATTGAGACCTATCCTTTGAAATTATTCATGATTAGCCTATCCTATTCATGTGAGAATTTAGGAAACCCCTCTCACAATTCTGTAGCATCTTCATTTTTTAAAAATGTGCATGTTATAAAGTTTCCTACAAATATCCCAGTTTAAAAACCACTCTATCCAAAAAGACATTGTAAAAGTAAAATTTTGCATTTTATTCATTCACTCCATCAGCTGGGAATTGCTCTATTATACAAATACAGTTTTGTACAAAAAATCACAAAATGTTACAAAATAAAAAAGTACAAACTGCATTACTTAATAAATATGACTAAAAGTTCAAGTGGCAATGAGATAGATTTTAGGTTGGAAACACTGTTTGACCCAGCAAACCATACAAGCTCTGTTTACAGACATTTTTACATTAATACAGGGCAATCTTATTTTGCCTTTTTAAAGAATTTTAAAAGATTATTCAGACAGTAATATCCTGCTATAAAATAACTGCCAAAGTCGATTCTAGGCATTTAAATCTCTTAGTTGAATCCAAGAAGCTATATAAAGCAGGAGACTTATCTTGTCTCAAAGTCTTATACCATATTAAGGTTCTTTTATAACAAAATGATAAATGTAAATAAAAACAATTAAGAGCACCAGACAATCTACTCTAAACATCAACCAGAGTACAGAATAATCACTCTGCCATCAACAAATAGACTCACACTCATGACCTGGTACTGCCCCTTAAAGGAAAAAGAAAAACCGTCCCAACCTTCCCTAAGTTTTTCCTCTTTAAAAGGCTGACAATTTTTAGAAAAATAATGATTTCCAAAACAACTGTTTCATCAAAATGGAATGGGCCAATCTGGTAACAAGAATGCATCAAAATCCATTTGAAATAATTATCTAAGAATCATCAAATTAAAATTTCAACATAAAGTAACTACTAAATCACAAACTCTGTTCAAAATAATAAACTTCATATAAAGCACTTCTCTGGTTTACGCCTTGTAAGCTGTCAAAATAGCTGTCAAAATGGAACACACCATAGATGAAGGTACACCAATTTTTAAAAATGTGCAAAAATACATTTTTATAGAAAATAGACTACCAGGAATGAACAAATTTACACCGTGAGAAAACAGCTTGCAAATTTAGTGCTCACTTTATACAGCAAATTATAAATAGCAGTAGGATCACCCAAAACTATCAAGAAACATTTAGGTGCCCAGCAACCTTCAGCTCTGAGAAAACATTAAAAAAAAATGATTAAGGCATTACACCTACAGTAAATCTACCAGGAAATTTAAAAGTGCTATTACCCTGATTAGAGTTCATGTGATTCTCCAAACACAAGTTACGTATGCCAATTTTCCCAGGGTGTATAAGGTTTTTGGACATTTCAAGAGCATGCATTTTGTTCAATATACATTTTGGAAAGGGATATGGCCATGGATTTAGCAAGTTCTTCATCACGTTTTCTTTGCACTTGAGTTTGTTTGCACCAGTTGTCATACTCCGGGTTAGGATAGCAGTGATCAAACACCGCATCATAGTGTCCATTACTAAGCCAACTAAGCCAAATACTGGGCCTTAGAGAATCCTCAGGGCCCAAATAGTGAATCATAGTAGACACTGTGGGGCTCTCCAACCTCCCTCCAGTAGTTAAGTGGATATTCACATTCAGCATCTGCCCCATGGCCAGCAATTCGGGGTACCCGGCCCACGCCCCATCTTGGGCAGCAGCGATGATAAACTCTCCCACGTCGCCCTCAATCAGGGGGCTAAAGTGGTCGAGATGATCCGCGATGTAGTGCACCGTCTGCTCCCGCAGCTCCCGGTGCAGGCTCTGGTCCCCGTACACGGTCTTGCTGACAGCTCGGTAGAGGCAGTTGCCATCAGGAATGATGTGGAACCGGTACTTATTCCTCTGTCGCAGGTACTTGTCCTGCCTCTCCACCTCGGCCAGGTACAAGGCCAGCTTTTCATCCCTGGAATCCGATCTGGAGACTACCACCGTCTCGGCCGCGCCGCTCTGGGCGGCCTCGCCGCTCCGCGTGGGGTGTGCCTCCACCTCCGGGTCGGGTCGCCACGCCGGGTCCCCACCCGGAGAATCGCTGTGGTCGCCGCCCCTCTCCCAGCTCCGAGGGCTCCTCTCCGGCAATTGCTCCTCGCCCCACAGACCGGGGCCGGGCTCCGGGCTCCCTGGGGAGGGCGCGGGACCCCGGTGCTTGGCAGCGGCGGCCAGCGCCTGGCGGTGCTCGCTCAGTCGGAAGTTTCTGTCGGGCCCCTCCCGGGCCGTGTCCAGGCCCGCGGGCTCGGGGCAGTCGGGCCGCAGCAGCTCTTCCAGGAGCCAGGCGGAGGAGCCCCGCCGCGGCGGCACCGGGGCTGCGGGCGCCGGAGCCAGGAGCAGGCAGCGGCCGCGCGAGGCGGCGCTGGGCGGCGCGGCGGCGGGACCCTGCTCTGGCCCGTGCAGCAGGAGCCTGTCGGCGCCCAGGGGCCGCACGGTGATCTGTGCCGTGGACGTGTAGTGCGGCGGCAGCGGCGGCTTGCAGGACGTGCCGGGCGGCGCGGCGGCCGGGGCGGGCGCGGCGGCCCCGGACACCATGTCGAAG